TTTTGAGAGAATACTTTTTTGAGAATACTTTTGGAGTGACAACAATAGCAAGTTTCTGATCTACAAAGCTGAGAGCAAACTTTGGTTCACAGACAAAAGTAAACGTAAATGTTACCTTGAAATGAGTCATAGTTGGCTATCTGCTAGCCAGTCAATTAGCCAACCTCTTTTGGTAATGTACTAACTTTGCTACACATATGAATTAACTTATAACAAAAACCCATGGTTATTAGAAAACAATTATTCTAAGAGCTAGTTGCTCTAGAGAAGCCTGCAGTGCTAAGAAAAATCTGAGTGTATCTCTGTTTCTTAGAATATATTAAAACTTCTGCTTATTCATTACCCACCTGTCAGACTGGCAAATACAAAACAATATGACAACACATTCTGTTTGTGAGACTGTGAGGAAACAGGCACTCTCATACATTGCTGGTAGGAATGCAAATTGGTATACTCCTTCTGGAGGAAACTCTGGCAACACCTAACAAAAATTCTACTTCTAGAAATCTGTCCAGAAGACATACCTCCAGCTATAGCAAAAGGCTATGCACAAGACTATTCAATGCAGCATTTTTACAAAATGTTGCATAAGAGATAAAATATTGCATATAAATAAAGCATAAGCAATGTACCATTTTAGATCAATGCAGGAAATCTGCATGTATTATGGATAAACACTGTTGGGTGAAAAAAATAACTTTTTGAATTATACATATGATACTGCATTTATCCAGTATGATACCACACATGCAAAGTGTAAAAATATACAACACAATACTATACACTGGGTATGAATATGAAAATTATAAAAAATACATATGAGAAAACACACTGAATGAGTAATACTTCTACGGTGGAAAAGAAGCTGGGTGGAATTAAGCCTTACAATATGGCAAAATATTGACACTTGCTAAATACAGAAAACAGATTATAAGGACATTTGTTTTATCATTTTCCATATGTTTGAACTATTTCATAGTTAACAATATTAATTACAGGTTTATACAGAGGACTTCTAATTTGGCCATTTGGATGATAATTTACTACTGAATTATACTTTTTATTTCTGATGAGCAACAATTTTAAAATTCTAGAGTGCTTGGTGATTATCTACAACTTGAGCATATGCTGCCACCTAGCAAAACTTCCCAGAATTGTTTAACAACCAAACAGAAAATGGTTCTCTTCTGAAGGATGGACCCTAGTTTACTACTTCAGTAAAGAATTATTAAAAAGTATCACATATTTAATTATGAAACTGGAGTTTTGCAACTTCAGAAGCACGTACAAACATAATTCTTGACATTCTTATCTTTTACAAATAAGTAAAGGCAAATCATTTTGTTCTCTGGCATTTTAGTTTCTACCTTTACTATCTTGCAGGACATGGAAAGCAATTTTCTAATGAGCTTCTTAATAATTTGCTATCAAGAATAAAATAATGTCAGTTTCATACAGAAGCCTTTGGCCCTACTGTGGAATTAGAGTACCAGATTAGAATGTTTCACCTCCTAATTCTGATTTTATATATCACTGCTGCCTAAAGAAACAAATGACTGAAGGAAACCCAGCTCTAGTTTTCCAAATTCTTTACTCATTAAATGCTTACTGTTGTTTTCAATTGTGCATCCCTTCTCTGGTTCTAATGGAAAGGGAGAAAAAAGTCTTCATTTAGCAGATTTCTCCCCCTCATCTTAACATTAGGTGATTCAAGTTGAGTTAGCCATACTTTTACCTGCCCAGCAAGTATATGGTACTTATTATACACAAGGTACTATGTTAAACATTAGGGAAGCTGCTATAATAAATCAATTAAATATTCTCTCTTCAAAGTCCACATGAGTGCTTGTGAAGATAAAATATGCAATAAATAATCATAAGATAAAGTAAAAAGTAATACTTTATTTTTTAAAAAAAGTAAAGGTAGAATTTTACATTATTTCAGAAGAATACATGTATTTTAAGAACCTAGAGCCAGGAAGTGTGTTATAAATGTCAGCCTTTAGCCCTGGAAAATTATTTAAAAAAACAGAATTAGAGCTGAAGACATTGAAAGTTAGCATAATATAATAGTTGTGTCTGCAAGCTGGCTTTTATCTTCACAAAAGACATTTTGGGAAATTAAATATACTGTAAATTAGCTGGCCACATAACTTTTTAAAAGAAAAGACTATAATTAAAAATTATGGACAAAGGATTCCAATCAAATTAATCACAGATATGAGTACCAATATTCCAAAGATAATACCAGAGATTTACAAATTTTTGCAAATGTGATAAAACCTATGAAATATTTCGCCCTCCCCCAGAAACAGGCTAAATACAACAAATTACACATAATTTCAGGCAGTTATACGATCCCTGAAATTCATTCCTGAATCTCAGTTAAGGAGACCTAATTTAAGTTATTAAGGATCATAAAAATGATGCCTCAAGTTTCTCATTTAACAGACAGGCACTGAGGATATGATGGTAAGCGAAAATTTAGGCAGGTTGAGGGCATAAGAAATCTCTCTCACATTCACATGCCCCACACATTAAGCAATTCTTACACATGCTAAAAAGAAATAAATAGTGCTACAAAAGCTTACAAAAGGAGTAAATGAAAGTCAAGAAGCATTTCCCTGAGAAAGTGACTAAGTAGAAGTATAAAATGTACTGAGAGGAAAAGGAGCTGTGGGTAAAAGGAACAGCAAGTGCAAAAGATCTGGAGAAGGCTATGCTAGATAGTGGAGGAAAGCCAGTGTGGCTGAAGTACACAGCCTGAGGGCGCTGAGGGTAGTGGTATAACAGTGGAGACTGGCTTTGTGTAGATTGGTCTTGACCAAAAGCAACAGGAAGCCACCAAATCAGTTCTAAGCAAGGAAACACATGATTAGATTTGTTTTGAAGAGAGCACTCCAGCTATACTAGAGAGATGAGATGAGAAAACAAGTCAAAGTAGCTGGGAGGCTAGGATAGTAGTTCTGCTGGGAGATATAACTTGGACTAAGATGGGGTGATGATGGAAAAGTAATGGAAAGATAGAAAGATAACAGTGAATTTAAACTCTTTTTCATATATATTTCTTCCATGAAGAAGTTTTAATTCATTTCTTTTACCAATTTTCTATGAGATGACTTTTCTTAAGTTCCATGAGCTATTTTACAGTAATACATTAGCCATTTATCTGTCATATTTGCTGGATTTTTTTTCTAATTGGTTGTCCCGTTTTTCCCCCTTTGTTTTTCAATTTTTATGTAAACAACTGTTTTTCCCTTAGTAGTGTTTCTCCCATTAATTTTAAATTATAACACTTTTCTTCCACCATCTCCACTTTCTTCTATCCTTTTTTTTCTACCTTCATATTAGAACATGTAAGGTTTACTTCAGTGTGGGATGTACAAACTTCCTAATTGGATAAGTTCATTCAATCATCCAGCAAACAGTTACAGACCACATATGTTGCAGGTGACAGACATACACACCAAAAGAGAGAAACAGGTAAACAAGTGTTTTCAGAGTAGAAAGCGTCCTGGTTGCATAAAGAATAGACACGAGCCCAGACTGCGGTGAATTAGTGAAGACTTCCTAAAGGCCAAATTTTAACTGTTTTGAAGAGGCCTGGAAACTAAGTGGAAAAAGAAAGAGCCTTAAGTGAAGAGTGGGGTAAATGACTGTCACCACTCCTTTCACAGTAATTTCGAAATTGAACAGGAAGTTCACTAGTATTTCCAGTGAATTTCCAAGGACATCACTCCGATTAAGATCTTTTATACCTCCTAGGGAATCTAATGGAAAAATAAACCACCAAATGCTTTCTGTAACTAGCACAAGCTTAACATATGTTTATCAATATAAACACCTTCAAGAGTTCTCCTCTTCGGTATACCCTGTTCTCCACTGTCAAGCGAAACCCAGACTTACTAACCTGGTAATAAGGCAATAATACATTTCAGCTTTATTTCCTACTTTATCCCAAAAGTTCTCATCAGTAGAGAGTTATCTACTACTATACAATCCAAGGGGATTCCCACTCCCATTCTTTCCTCACTTATACTGGTCCCTCTGGTTAGAACACCTTCTTTCTCCATCATTGAATTCCTGAATGCAATCCTGTGTAGGACCCTTAAAGACCAAGAACAAGTATACTCATTTCATCTTGCCCTCTTTGGAAACTTTTCTGCACTACGTAACTTTTTTCTGTGAGCATTATCCTGTATCATTGATGAACGGTGCTTAACCTTTCCTACCTCAGAACAGGTTGCTTACAGAACTGTGTAATATGAACAGTGGCTTGCTCACAGCAAACTCATATATCCACTGAATAAAAATGGCGAATAATTTCCTTTGCTGTAGTTGTGAGGTCCTCATTTGATTCCCGCTTTTCCAGCTTACTTTAAGTCTTTGATGACTATGACTTCCTTGAATAGAAGCAGAAACTAGAAAGGAGAAAATGACAGAAATGGTAACCTGGTGACATGTAATGGTGGAGGTGATGAGGGCAAACGTCTGATGAGACTGGATTTAAGAGAAAAGGAGAGATGAAAACTTGTGGACAGCAAGTATTAATGTTTTGCTGTAAATGGAAGCACAGAAATAGGACAGTAGCGGAAAGAAGAAATGAGGTACTGAGCGAGCGTACATCCTTATAAATGATATGGTCTCATTCAAGATGAACAATTTCTTAGGAAAAGCTACAGCTCTCAATCTCTCCCTTTCATTTTCTGCAGTCAACAAAAGGCAGGAAATATATACTGAGAGTTTACTGTCAGGCACTGTGCAAACACTACATACTCCAGTTAATTTAATTCTCACTCCAGCCTTGTTGGGAAAGGTACTATCATGAGCTTCGTTTTACAGATGGACACTGAATAAAGAGATTAAATGATCTTCCCAAAGTACCACAAATAAAAACTCATGAGGACTGAGGGCCAGAGACACTTCACCTAGAAACCAGGGGGTAGGAGGGTGGGGGTGGGGAGTTACGGTTGTCAGTCTCTGAGTTCCGGAAAACTCACCTGACTCCCGCCTCGCCCAGGCCCCTCAAAATGACGCAGCAAAGCTGTTCTGAGGGCCCTAAAGGTCAGTCCCACAGGTTTCTAGACCCCGGTGCTCACCTCGTTATTGAGGTTCAAAGTCCCCGGCTGGTCCATGGTAGCTCTAAGAAGTTCCCCGGCTGCCCGCACGTGAACTGCATCGGCCGGAACGCGGGTGCGTTGCCACGCCCCTCCAACGGCGGCCTCGTTGGCCCAAAATTCATCCGCCGACTGCTTCAGCCGAAGCGCGAGTAAAAGGTACACCGACTCTGAGGTGAAGGACGGAAGTGACGAATAACAACTTCCTGCGTGGGGTGCTCCCCGTCTGATTTGCGCGTTCCTATGGAAACTAGGTAGGGGCCGGTGGCAAAGAGGGCGCTCCAGAAGCCGTTGCCTTAGAAGCCGTTGTTTAGAAGTTTTTCAAGATGCTAATTTTCTTATATTCGTTCGCAGAGTGGGTCCAGCTGTGTAAGGACCTTGTTTTTCGTGTCTCAATGGGAGTGAAAGCCTTTATGAAATGATCACTTGAGCGACCAGTTTTGCTCCGAATTTTTATCTAGCGTTTGTGAAGATTTTTGCGCTTCTAACAAACACATCTGTTAGATTCAGCTTTTTTACCAGCTTCACTTTATAGCTCAAGCATGGACATATTTTTCTGCACACTGTAAGAAGATATAATGAGCTTATAAAACAGAACCAGGATGCACATTTCATGCTGCCTGTGAGATTGGCTGTTTTGAAGTATTAGGCTGCGTGTAGAGGACACATGAGGGACTGAGTCAGAGTTAAATAACATATTAATAGTTAACACCTGGTAGTACAGAGCTTTAAAATGGGTCAAGTGCTGGGACAAACACTTTGCGTGAATTATCTCCAAAATAGTCAAATCCAATGAGATAGGAAATATTATTCTTATTTTACAGGTTTGGAAACTAACTTTCGAGGGGCCAAGTGTCTTGTCAAGAGTTGCCCAGCTGGAGCCGACCACTGCTACAGGATTCCAGGGCTGGTTACATAATCTAAGGGGCCCAGTGCAAAATGAAAATGCAGGACCCCCCCCATTCAAAAAGTAGGAAAAAGTTTCTTCTTTTCTTCCGTGGTGTCTTTTGACCTGTCATGTGCTTTCTATTTGGTATTTAGTGTGATGCTCCCTCAAGCACAGGGATGCCATGGGGCTAGTGCACATCTTCACAGGTGCCTGGGACCCATGCTTGAGGACTCAGGGAGGAGTGCCTGTACTGGACCAAGATGGCAGTAGTTGCTGGGCAGAGACAGGGAAGTAGGAAGCCAGAGAACCCAAATGGAAGTATGTAGCAGGTAAGACCACACTTGACCTGAGACTAAGCCGTTGACATATGTTTCATTGTCCCACTGGATTTCACTTACAAAACTCAAATTCACAGATAAACTTATTAAGTATTTCAAGACTGTGTGGAAAGTAAATTTAAGCCAGGCCCACTTCTGAGCTTCTGTCCAGGAAGACAGTCCTGTGCAGGGCCAATGCTCTTGACTCCTGATTCTGTACTCAATTTACAATAACTCAGTCTTGTGTTTGGATTGGTATTCTTCAGTGTGTGATTTGGGCAGAATTGGATTAATGCGTGACTTCCTGTTTGACTAGCGTTGCATAAAGGTAGTTTTTGCATTCATAAATCATACGCTGAATTTTAATTGTCTCCTTATTCAGCTACTTCTCCTCATTAAAACTGATCTCCTGGAGTGCAGGGGTTTTTCACCCCAGGTGGCTAGTAGGCACTTCATACATAAATACTCAGGAAAGATTGTTTTAAAGATAAATGTAGAGCTTTATGGAAAATGTGTCTTCTAATTTAGGAGAAAGGTATTAGTATGATTCCATAATGCTTCAAAAAATGTATTAATATGAAGTTTGTCTATAGCTCTTAAAGTCTCTGTAATGTTTTCTCTTCACCACTCCTCTTGTTCTCCAACATCTCATTTCTCTAGCCAGCACAGTCTCTTCAGGCTCAGCATTTGTTTTCTACCTTTTCTTAGCAGAAGCTCTCTCCTTTGCTTATGATGCTCCCTCTGCCAGATCGGCTTTCTCAAGTGCTACTTTTCAAGACAGGTTCACATTCTATACATCCTTTTTTAAGAATGGTCTTCATAGCCCCCAACAGAAGTTAATTTTTCTCATCAGCAGTTCATTCTTATATTATTTACAATATTCTGCTTTAATTTGAAATTTCTTATGTACTGTCTACTCTTTTACATGATAAGCTCTCAGCAACTTTAGATATTCATTTTTAAAGTGACTCGTAGTTTTTCATTGTACCTGATATATCACTTAAATATCAATCCATCTCTGTCTTTTGATGTAACAACCTCAAAAATCATTTTGATTCTTTACAGGGGTGATTCTACTAACTAATCTGCTTTCATTAAGCTATACACATGTCCTCTAGGAATAATAATGCATTTGTGTTCATCAGGCTACAAGTTTCTCTAGAAAGCAACACCTGCCCCTTTTATTCCTGAAGGGCTGGTCCTGGATCATTTAAATGCTGTCAGAGATATGAAACAACAAAACTACTATCATTAAAAGCAACTGGTATAAGATCTTTTTCCTCTTTATTGCAGTGTTACATTTAGTGGAAGTAAGGATTCGCAAGCATATACAATAGGGACTCAAGTTTTCCAAATTCAAACTTCTTAAGACTTTCTCAAATCCCACTGTACTTGTCTACTCAGGCTACAACAAAATACCACAGAATGGGTGGCTTAAACAACAGAAATTTATTTTCATACAGTTCTGGAGGCCAGAAGTCCAAGATCAAGGTGCTGTCATGGTTGTTTCTCCTGAGAGTTCTCTTCCTGGCTTGCAGAAACAGCCTTCTTGCTGTGTCCTCACATGGCCTTTCCAATGTGCATAGCCGGAAGAGCCTTCTCTGATGTCTTTCCCTCTTCTTATAAGGATGCCAATCCTATTGTATTAGGGCTCCACCCTTATGACCTTGTTTCACCTTAATTGACTCCCTAAAGACTTTATCTCCAAACCTCATTATATTGGGGATTAGAGTTTCAATATATGGAGACACAATTCAGTCTATAACACCCACGTTCTTTGAAAAAAGGAAATTACCTCAAAAGTAATATTCTCCTTATCTAACATGCCTGATGACTGACATTTCTATCATTTTGCACTTTCAAAAATTATAATCATACATTTCTAGATTACAACTAAACTCATGGATGTTTAGCATTCAGAATAGAATTGAGGAATAGACCCATGCATATATGGACAACTGATTTTCAACAAAGTTGTAAAGATAAGTCAGTGGAGGAAAGGTAGCCTTTTCAAAAATTGTGCTGAAACAATTGGATACTCATATAAAAAATTAACTTTGACCCACATCTCACACCAAATACAAAACAAAAAGCCTAAAATGTATTATACACCTAAATGTAAAGCACAAAACTGTAAAACTTCTAGAATAAAAGATAGGACAAAGACGTTGTGACCTAGGGTTAGGCAAAGATTTCTTGGATATCAGAACAAATGCAGAATCCATATAAAAATGCACTGATAAACTGGACTGAATCAACATTAAAACTTCTCTTCAAAATGCACTGTTAAGATAGTAAAAAGATAAGCTCTACATGTAGAAGAAAATTTTGCAACTAACATATTTTATAAAGGACTTTTATCTAGAATATGTAAAGAACTCTCCAAACTCAATAAGGATAAAAAGAACCCAATAAAATAAGTGGCCAAAAGATCCAGACAGAAAATATACTTAAAAAGATATGTGGGACTTCCCTGGTGGTGCAATGGTTAAGAATCTGCCTGCCAATGCAGGGGACAAGGGTTCGAGCTCTGGTCCAGGAAGATCCCACATACCGTGGAGCAACTAAGTCCGTGCACCACAACTACTGAGCCTGCACTCTAGAGCCTGTGAGCCACAACTACGGAGCCTGCATGCCACAACTACTGAAGCCCGCACACCTAGAGCCTGTGCTCCACAACAAGAGGAGCCACTGCAATGAGAAGCCCGTGTACCACAACAAAGTGTAGCCCCTGCTCACCGCAACTAGAGATAGCCTGCATGCAGCAATGAAGACCCAATGCAGCCAAATATAAATAAATAAATAAATAGTTTAAAATGGCTAAAATGGTATATTAAAAAAAGATATGTAGATAGCAAATAAGCACATGAAAGTATGTTCAACATCATCAGGGAAAAGCAAGTTAAAACCACAATATGATACAGTTACACACCTAATAGAAGAGTTAAAAAGTGATCATAACAAGTGCTAGTGAGGATGTGGAACAACTGGAACTCTCAAGCATCATTTGTGGGAATATAGAATGGTAGGATCACCTGGTAACTGAGCCCACTGCAGCAGCATTCACAGTATCCAAGACATGGAAGCAATCTAAATGTTCATCTGTGGATGACTGGATAAAGAAAATGTGTTATACACAAACAATAGATTGTTATTCAACTTTTAAAAAGAAGGAAATTCTGCCATTTGTAACTACATGAATGAACCTGAAGGACATTATGTTAAGTGAAATAAGCCAGACACAGACAGACAAATACTACATGATACCACTTATATCAGGAATCAAAAGCTGTCAAACTCATAGAAGCAAAGAATAGAATGGTGGTTGTCAGAGGCCCGAGGGAGGGGAAAATGGGAAAGTTATTAGTCAAAAGGCACAAAGTTTTAATTATACAAAATAAGTAAGTGCTGTGGATTTACTGTACAGCATAGTTCTCAGTTAACCATACTTTATTGTATACTTAAAATTTTGCTGAGAGGACAAATCTTAAAAGCATTTAAGTGTTTTTATCATCACACAAATAATGATAGAGGGGGCAGGAAGAAACTTTTGGAGGTGATGGATATGCTAATGGCACAGATTGTGGTGATGGTTTCATGGTGTATGCTTATCTCCAAAGTCATCAAGTTGAAAATATTATTTACAGCTTTTTGTATGTCAATTATACCACAATAAAATTTTTTTCTTTTTAAAAAAAAGCTATGGGGTTTAAAAACACAAATGTTACACCTTTCTCTTACTTGAATAAGTGGTAAAGAGAAATTATTATTGGCAAACCTGTCATTTTT